GAATTATATTGCTTCATAATGCTGATGAACTTCACTGTAATCCCGTTCATGATAGGTAAGATAACAGATACAACTCTTTTAATTTAATTCCACGTATTAATTATCAGATTTATCAGTTTGTACAATACATAAAATCTTTCCACAAATTCGATCATTATGTTCCTGCTTAATGTATAATAGCAATATTCTAAGTATAAATTAAAGATGTAATAAGTGTAAAATTGAATGAAAGGAATTACAAGTCCGACAACTGCACTAATTTGTAACTTTGTCTATTTGTGCTGCAAAAATTTTTTTTTTTGGAGCACACGCGATATTTGAATTATAAGATAATGTGTATGTGTCTTTACATATGGTGTTTTATATATATATATATATAGTTTAAAAAGAATTAAAATTTTATAGCTAATCAGAAACTGTAGATAGGACATAATTATAATTAAAAAAAATAAATTATGAAGATTAATTTGTGTAATATATATATAAAATAGATGAAAATATATTCTGATATTATATTCAATTAAACTTTTGTTATTTAGGGATGATCGTAAACGTTTCAAAAATAACAAATTTTGATCCGGAGTACTTGTACGAGTTGAACCAAACCACTATAGTATATAAGGAGCCTCTCCAAATCACTCAATTAACTTCCACAATAAAATGTCATCCTTTTCCACCGATAAGTCTTCGCTGTTTCTTGCATGACATTTTATACGTGACAAAATTTGAACATAAAAATTTAAATATTATAGAAGAGGTCACGAGAGAACGATTCAAAATCGGACAGTGGTTTGAGATGAAATTCAGCATTGAGGGTTTACAGAGTACACTTGTACGAAAAGACGCTGATAATATAGTCAGAAATGCTATCAAATATTTTGTTTGGCAATTCGATATAGGTATTAATATACAGCATTTTATACCATTATTTAAATCCCGTTTTACAACGACAGTGATGAAATTTGAAAAGACATCAATCGCCGATTGCACAACCGAGTTAAATTTCGATGTACAACGAATGATGATTCCACCAGATCCGTATTTGAATTTCGATTTTACGTTAACAATGAAAGAAGATTATACTAAGTATCAATATTCACGTTTCCTTATTGAAAAGAATAGAATAGACTGCACTCCCACATTCGAATATAATGATTTTTTAAACTCGTTGGTAATAGTGAGTATACGTATATTGTTCTATATGTTTTATATTTTTATCAATACTGTTTTGCTCTTATTAGAAGAAGAATTAATTGTTACGCGTCATCTTCAGTGATTTATAAGTAATTCTAATTCTTATAACTTTTTCAACAATTTCATTAATTTTTTAATTATGAAATACATATATATGTATATACACATATACAATGTATATATATATATATATTCATATGGATTTATTTATATATAAAGAATCAAATTTTTATTTTTATAAAAAATTGTAATGTAATGAGATAATATAATTATATGAAATATGATATATTTATTACAAAAAAATATGTCTCAATGATCTAATAATTTTTTTTTATCATGAAATCAGTATTTTGCGATATTTACTTAACTACGATTTTGACTTTTCTACTTAATCTTAATTTTTTTATTTCTTTAAATCTTGTAGAAAACATATAAACATACGATAAAATCGGCCGATTATAAAATAAAAGCTTTTACTAGACTGGATGTAGGACACCCATCTTATACATGGAACCCTACAGAAGTTGTATTTTCAGATATAACGGAAGTTAACATGATTGAGATAATATTTAACAAAACTTTAAGATATGATAACAATTATGAGTTGATTTTACTTGATTAAATCGAATTTCGAAAATACATTATATATAATATCTACATATAAATTCTTTGTTTAATTGTTTATGTCAAATCGTTTTGTATTCGTAAAATTTGTTCTGATACTATAAGCAATAAATGATAAAATTAGATACTTGAAATTTTAAAAACATATTAAATAGCATTTGGTAAAATTACAACTTCCTTATTGTCCCTAATTTCTACGATATTTGTCAAGACATCTAAAAAATTAATAAATTTTTATTTCTCGTATAGTAGTCGTCTATTACGAATGCACACGTTTGTTAATTGAAAATGATGTAACTTATCCGAGTTATAGCACTTAGAAATGCCATGAGGTACTTTTATGAAACAATGATTTGTTAATAATAACAAAAAGTTAATTACGATAACAAATTTATAACATTTATTACTTTATTGCAAAAAAGATATATTTTATGAAACTCGATTCGCTTTAACGTGATTTCATTGAACACTTATTTCTATATACTATAAAAGATATCCTTTATAAAAATTTCATACTGAAATATAGTGATTGACTACTTATATTTTGAGTAAACATTAAAAATAAATAATTTATGGTCATTAGTCTTTTAGTATTAAGTTAAATTTTAGAGGTCAGATAATTATTATAATTTAAGGATCGACAGGAGTGACCCTTAGACAGAGACCTCTAGTCGAAGATGAATTTTTTATTCCCAAATTACGGCTAAAATACTGCATGGATCGCGTTTTAATTGTGATATTCGTAATTAGGAAAGGCTCCTGAAGGCTCGTACAGAGCTATTTTTTTGTAAAAAAAGGCATAATAAAAATTTGTTCTGTTATTTCACTCGATGTGTACTATGGTGCAGTTGAGAGATGTATACATGATCTTATTTTAATAAAAATTTTCAAGAATTAATTTGCAAATCTGACTCTGTACGAGCCTTTCCAGCAATATAACAATAAAATCCCAACAGGTTTCATAAGGAAATATTATTTCTTTGAGAAGAAAAATGAGCATAACTGATCTAGATCTGCACTGATCTGCACTCATAAATGTTACCTTTATTCCCAAATTATGGCTAAAATATAACATGAATCGTGTTTTGATTGTGATATTTGTAACCAGAAAAGGCTCCTGAAGGCTCGTACAGAGCTATTTTTTTGTAAAAAGGCATAACAAAAATATTTCTGTCACTCCTGTCGACCCTTAAATTAAATCGTTATTCATACGTTAATTTCATTAATCAAAAAGGTAATATTTTAAGTAAATTTTAAAGAAAATTTTATAATTAAAAACAACAAAAAATAAGTAATTTTATACAATAAAATAAATAAAAAGATAACAAAAATTGATCAGATATTGTGTAATAATCTAGAATCTAGATTATATTAAATATATGCGCCAATATAATATTTAAAGATGTATTTTATTATAATTTGAAATATAAAATAGAACTTATTTTTCATAAATCTATTGTGTGTGTGTGTGTGTGTGTGTGTATATATATATATATACACATATACATACACATATACATATATACATACATATTCTAATTATACATATTGGGTGCTTTTTTTATTTGATACTTGAGGAGTACAAAGAAACATAAAACGTGATGTCGATTTATATCACTATAAATAAAAAACATTGTCTGATGTGTGCTAACAGCAAAGGCATTAGTATTTATCGGAAATATTGTTTATATATGTTATAAAGACAAAAATAAAGGCTCAAATCGTATTAACATTCAGTTATTACATCTGTTGACTTAATAGCTGCGTTTAGCATAAATTCAGTTTTGCAACTGTTATAAGATTCTTTAATACGATTGGTAATACATTTAGATCCAGCAAGAAACAAAGAGCAAGAATCAAAGATTCTATAACATGATTGATTCTTTTTGTTAAATTTGTCAGCAGATTTTTGTAAAATTCAAGCAGACGAACGATACTGGAAAATTCCTTTACTGTTTCAATAATTTCATTAATTGTTTGGACAAAATCATACGTTATGTATATATATATATATGATAAAGCGCAATAAAATTATTTATATATGTTTATTACGTTTTACAGTAATATCTAATAACTTTTTATTGGAAAATTAGTTTTTGCAATATTTACTCTCTCTAAGAACTATTTTGATTTCTTTAATTAAACTTAATTTTTTTTTAATTTTACAGACAAAATGCATATTCACACAATAAATGTAACTAATAATAATTAAATTAAAAACATTTACCAGACTAGATTAGAAAAAACAATTGGAAACCATTATGATTATGACGCATGTAAATCTAATTGATATTAAATCTCGAAGAACAGTATCAATTAATGATACGTACTATTAATAATTAGATCCTCTTAGGTTAAATTTCAAAAAAGGAGAAATTTATACGTGAATATATATTTAAATCTTATTTTTATTTATGTAGGATTCTTTTTGTATAGAATTTTTTTATACTAAAGGTATTCAAATTAAAATTTTACAAAGACATTATTTAATAATTTGGCAAAATTATTAAATTATTAAAATTAAAACATTTGGTAAAATTATGATCTTCTTATCTCTGTTAATTGTCCTTACAACAATTTGTAATATTTATCATGACTTTTAATATAAATAAACTCTAATTCTTTCTGTAATCCCTGTACATTCAGAATGCACACATCGTGTTTTTCTTCGATTAAAGATTATGTAATTTATCTGAGTTGTAGTACTTAGAATTAATATATGATATACTTCTGTAATAATTATTTGTTAATTATAATAATTATTTGTTAATTGTAATAACAAAAATATTTATTATAATACAAACTTATAATATTTACATTGTCAAAAAAATATATTTCATGAAACTCAATTTGTTTTAATGTGATTGAGGGAATATATTAGAGAAATCTAATTATTTTTATTTACACATGTAATTATAATAGTTAAAAAATATTTTTAGTAGGAAAATTTTAGAAATGATTTTTGTTTGTATTAAAAAACAAACAAATTAGAAGTTAGTGATTTTATGCGACAGATGTCGAAAAAAGGATAAATAAATTTATAAATGAAAAAATTGCAATCAAGTTGCTTATTATAAATAAAATAACGGAGAAAAACGTCGAACATATAATAATTAACAATAATTTAACAATTACACACAATTTCATAACATAACAATCAAATATTAATTTACTATGACTAATTATGATGTAACTCCAATATCATTTATAATTACAGTACAGGACGAGTTCTCGATTAATCTCAAATCTTTCCAAACATTAATTTTCCGGATTTCACCATATAGCCTTGTTATCAACAATCTCGTGGTTGGTATTCTTGCCCAACATTTTCCTAACGCCGGTGTTATGTCGGCAGAATCCGTTTGTCCTGGAGAAATCCATCGGGTGATTAAATTCACAGTAATTACAACTGCTTGGTACTTCATCGTGAGGAATCGACATATTTCGGCTAAATCTTCGAGCTCATAAGTTGTTTCGTTATCACTTTGTTGTGCGTTTCGCGTTACCTTGAAGAAGAAATGACCGGTTATTAAAAAAATACGAGTATATTCACATATAAATTAATTTCCATGTCATAAAATTAAAATTAATATTATATTTATATTAACGTTATAGTTTCTCAACTTATTATTTATCTTAATACTATAAGTAGTATAAATTAACTAAATATTTTAATTACCAGATATAGACAAAAAACGTTAAATTATTTCTTAATATTATAAGTAATATGAATTAACTTAATATTTCAATTATCAGATAGATAAGAAACGTTATTTTATTCCTTAATTTGTAATTGCGCACACGCGCGCGTGTGCGTAATCGTATTACTTTTAACATTGCTAACAGTAATATAAAGTTTAATCAATAACATGTACGGGAAGTTATACAGATTATGAATAAAAAGTTATTTATTGAGGCACCTTGAAGATAATTGCCGGTAAAGAATCGATAATCACGAGGAGGACCTTTCTTTCTTTCAATGACGCTTCATTCTGCTCTTGTTCGCAAAGAGTTACCAATTGTCGTAAACCTTGTATCAATTCGTTGGACGAATGCGCTTGATAAATTTTCGTACTGCGCAATGCATCGTCTATAATCTGTGAAAAAGAAAATTGACTTTCAAAACTCACAATCAGTAGCATTTTGAAGATAATCAATCATATAAAAAGTTTATTTTACAAGTCTGTCATTTATTAAGTTATTTCTTTCTTTCTTTTCAAGAATTACTTTTTCAATTATACTGATATAATTGTGGTAGATATATGAATATGCGCTGATATTTTTATTATTATTTGCAACTAATGTTATTACTTTCTGCTCGAAATTTCTTGCTCTCATAATTCCCTCGTATCGCATTCTGCAGAAATCTCTCTTTGTGTCAAAATACCATACAATGCCGTCTGACCGGCTAGCGACGTTAGCTGCTATTGTGAAACATAATTGAGTCTTCCCGGAGGCCGAAGGTCCACATAATTCGCATAACTGTCCAGGATACAGGCCACCTCTCAGCAATTCGTCCAAACTATTTGAAAATGAGACATTATTAACTAAAAAGTACATTCTTTTTTCTTCCTCTGTGTAAAAGCATTGTATGATGTATTTTTAGAGTTTCTAAATATGTAGTAAACATACCACGTTATACTGGTCGAAATTACATCACGTTCTATCGCAAGGAGTTGCGTTGCATTCTTCTTTATTCCACCAAACTTCTTCAATATGTGCTGTTTCACTTGCAACACATCCTGTAAATAATAATATTTAATTAAATTTATAAATATTGAGTAATCCACACAACTATCTTCTATCAATCTCTCATTTTTTTTATTATAGACATTTCACATTTATTTCTTTCAAATAAAAGTTTAATAAATTAATATCAACCGAAAGAGACTAACTTCTAAATAAAATATTTTATTATAAGAATTCATTAGTACTCGTTTCTATCAATGTAGTTTAATTTTATTTCAATTCAATTAACTATTCATCTTTTTCCAGTTCTAAATATTGGAAAAGAATAAAAGAACAAGATTAAAATTAATTTACGTTAGTACAAACGAGCATAAAGAATAAAACATTCCATTCGTTTCTGTATGTTTCAATTCTTTATGTCTAAAAACGACGCAATGTTTATTCTCCAGTAATAAACATTTTCAAAAATGTTTTCATCTTTCTTTTACGGAATACGCACCGTGTGTGAAAGACCAATGATATTTGTCAATTTAATCGGATCCGTTGAGACAAAATCCACCATTGTGACCACGTTTCTCCGTCGTAAATTCTCGGTCATTGTTTCCGACAAACTCGGATGAACATCTGCGTTCAGTTTTATCATCTTTTAACTTTGTCGAAGTATCTGCAAAAGAATCGAAAAATTAATTAAAAAATCTTTCCTTCAGAAAAAAAAACTACTTTATAGAAAATTTAATACTTGTAGTTGCCAATTTATAACTATTTAATAATTCTTTTAATATTACTAAAAATAAGTGATTAATTGGCCAGTACTAGTATTCAGTTTCTATAAGTAAAGATAGAAAGAAATTTTACAATAAATTAAGTAAAAATAAATGTGGATAAAAGTGTCCCCCTACTATTGATATCATATATATATATATATATATATATA